TAAGAAAATAACTCCCCTTTGGGTCAATGGGTCGTGCATAGCTTTTGGGTGATGATTCTTGGAAGAAATTGTGGCCCATTAGCAATTTTGAGGCATTTGAAGCAAAGTTGACTTTTCAAAATTCCCAAAAATTTCCCAACTTCCACAAGGCATATCTTGCTCAATTTTTAATCTTTGATCATGTTCTTGGACATTTTGGAAAGCTCTTGAAGTCCTCTAACCAATGCCTTTGGTCCCATGTCATTTTGATTTACCAATCTCAAGTTATGGTCTTTGACTTGAAGTACCTTTTTGTTGACTTTTGAAAATGACCTATAATGTTGAAATTGATAATTTTTTGTGAGAGCATTTTTTGGACTTGAAGTGTGAAGAGGAGTTGTAGGAAATGTCATTCTCTTTAAAATGATCTTTGGATGGGATTTTTCTGATAAACCATGTGGAAGTTATGCCCTGGTCAATTTGCAGTTGACTTTTTCAACTGTCCAAATATGGAAACTTTTGCATCTTGAGACTTTTTGAACCATGCCTTGAGAATCATGATCAAGAATTGATCAAATGATGTTTGTGGATTCAAAATAAGATGTTGACCAAAAATTTGAACTTTTGACTGTCAAATGACCATTTGCCCCTGCAGTTGACTGTTGAGCAATTAGGGTTTTTGACTGTGCAATTTTGTGCTGTAAGTCTTGAAACTTGGCATATGGATGCTTGACAATGTTTATAGGCATGTGGGACTTGATTGGACCCTTGGAAACTTCAACTTCTTTGCTAGAATCAAAACCCTAATTTTTGACTGTTAGGAGGCCATTGAGCTGTGCAACCTTTGGAACGCCTTTGAACCTTGATCTTTGGCAAATCCTTGAAGAATATGGGAGGGAAAATTTTGGGGTACAACAGTCGAGCTTTGAAGTCAAAGAAGTTGACTCCATGTTTTATTGGTCCGTTTCAGATTACCAAGAGAGTTGGGAAAGTTGCTTATCAGATTGCTTTGCCGCCGTCACTTGCAAATTTGCATGATGTTTTTCATGTATCTCAGCTAAGGAAGTACATTGCTGATCTGTCTCATGAGATTCGGGTAGACGATATACAGGTACGAGAGAATTTGACTGTGACAGCAGTACCTGCGAGAATTGAGGATCGGAAGTTGAAACAGTTGCGAGGCAAGAAGATCGCGTTGGTAAGAGTGGCTTGGGGAGGACCAGCAGATGGAAATGTCACTTGGGAGCTGGAGAGTCAGATGAAGGACTCGTATCCCGAACTGTTCGTCTAAGGTATGTTTTCGAGGACGAAAACTCTTTTAGTTGGGGAGAGTTGTGACACCCCAAATTAATTCAAGTGTTAAATAATTAGGAATTTAATTATTAAATCAATTAAAGGCTTAATTAATAATATTTTGGATTAAATGGATGAATTAATTATGAAATTAAAAAGGAAGACCGGGGGGTGTAAGGTTGAATTAGAGGTGTGTGAAGTAAAAAGCTCTACTAATTAATAACTAATTTATTACTATTATTTGAAAAATAATAAAAGGAATATAAAAAGAAGGATAAAAAAGAAAAGAAAAAGAAGGTTATTTGGAAAAGTCATTATACGTGAAATTCGAGAAGAGAAGAGAAGAGAGGAAAAAGCCAAACGCCGTGAATTCGAAGGATCATCGCGAGGTAAGGGGTGATTTCATTCAGTTAATATGCCTTATAGGTTTTGGAATCAATAAGATTGATTAAGTCTGTTAGGAATCCCAATTTAGGATCGCTAGGTTTATGAAATTCAAACCCCAATTCCATGAATTTTTATGCTTTGATTCAATTTGATATTATGAGGAAATTGTATGATGTGATGGTGTGTTACAATCTTATTGGAATCATGCATTATAACTTATTTTGACATTGCTGTGAGTTGGATTCAAATGGGTATGAATTGGATGGGATTGGAGTAGTAAAATGCTGTCAAAAGTGCTGAATTTGACTCTGCAGGTCGTGGGAACCGGTTCCCAGTGGGGAGGAACCGGGTTCCACTGTGTGAATTTATAAAAACTGGCAAAAATGCATGTAGGAACCGGTTCCTGTATAGGTAGGAACCGGGTTCCCATACATTTTCCAGAAGGGTTATTTTTGAGCTTCGCAGGAACAGGTTCCTGCATATGTAGGAACCGGGTTCTGCTGTAACTTTTTGAAAAATATTAAACTTTGAAAATTCATAACTTTCAAACCGTAAGTCCGTTTTGAGTGCCGTTTTGGACTTTATTTCTTAAATTTAATGCTCTATTTTATAAAATGAAAATATTTCCTAAAACCTGAAATTATTTTGAAAATCAGTCAAATCCCGGAATAAGTGATTATTGGCTAACGCACATGGGTGTGTATGTAGCAGTGAACCTGTGATGGATGGATGTATTAGTATTGTGTCAATGAAAGGCATGTTTATGTTGCTAATGATGGTGTGCATGATCGTTGAGATATCATGTTTTTGGATTTGGTTCAGTTATGATAAATTGATGTATTTCATAGACTGATTTGATGTTGCATGCTAGTGATGTGCGTGCATATGCATTGTTTTGGTGAAGTTAATTCCCATTGTGTGGAATTTGACTTGTATTGTCGTTAACCGATACTCGGGTGATGATGGGTGGTTAGGATGGATTCGTGTCCGGGTGTTTATGGACGAATCGATGGTTGCTGTATCCGGTTGATGATGGATCAGTGTTGGGTGACTTGGTCACGTGTTGGTACCACATGCATTGTGTCTGCATTTGTGTTTGCATGGAATTGTAACATGTTAGGATGTCTTCCAGTGTTACAATTCTTTGGTTGATTATTGATTTGTGCATAATGATTTGTATGATTGGAACTGCGTGTTGAATCTGAATTTATGCTAAAATGGGTGAAATAATATGCTTGTGATATAATGTTGCTTGAGAAGCTTATAATGCATGTTAATTATGAGAAATCTCACCCTTACTTTAACAATTTCAGATTAAAGTTAGCAGCTCAGGAGTTGGTGAGGATGGCTCTAGAGCTATGTTACTTTAAGTCTGCGTGTCAGTGTCGTGCTCTGATAGGTTGTAACACTGGGGAACGTTTAGTTGAGGAATTATTTATTATTCAATTGTTTCTTTGAATTTCATTGGGAATAATTATGTTTTGGTTTATTCCGTTTTGGTTATGGTATTTTTCCGCTGTGTAAGACATGGTCTTAAGTTGATTGAATTATTTGAATAATGACCCTCAGTGTAGCATGACTACTGTTTTATTGGAAGTTTTATTTATTTCATAATTGTGACATCCCTTGTTCCGTGTTAACTCTGATGGAATATGTCTTTAATCATTGATATAATTAATATTATTCGGGGTATTTTAGAAGGGGTGTTACAACATTCATTAATGCAAGTTCTCGGTCCATCACCATAACATTCGATAGCAATTTCTATGAACAAAATAACTCTTTGATCTTCTTTAGTTCCCATGTAAATTTATCCTCCCTTTCATGTTTCAAATAGGCAAAGGCAACTGAAAACGTCAACTTCATTGACGTAACACCAACAATCTCAAGCAATGGTAACTGGTACCTGCATGGTTAAAATACACATAACCAAACAACTCACTCAACATCTATAACATATTTTAGGATGCCAAAAGTAAATTCCTTACCTATTTGTCTTGTACGTGCAATCAAAAATCAACATCATATGAAACATATTTAGTAACTTCACATAATCAGGATGTGTCCAGAAGATATCAACTATAATATTTGAGTTCTTCCCATCTCTAGTCCAACGCATGCACTTCTCTTTATGTATAAGACTCAATAACATTTGCATTTCTGTAATTACATCTCTCTTGCCCAATTTATATGTTGCTCTAGCTTTATATACCTGGGCAATACTCGTGAGGTTTTCTGGATCTTTGTCTTTTAAAGTAGAAATAACGTACCTTGGTGCCATATTGTATTTCGACATGTCATTCACAAAATTTATTTCATGATCTTTTAAACGTCCAAATATGTCATGGCCTTCCAAATATTTGTCTAGCCTATGATTGTGCATCCCGCATTTAAAAACGACCTTCCAACCTATACTACTAGGAACATATCTTATCCTAAACAAACATTTAATCTCCAAAGTATAATTTCCATTAGAGGTATTTCTAGATGCATTTTTTTCTTTTGTAATTTCCTTCTCTCTCATAACCCATAATTAATTTATCCTTCATCCCTCACATTCCATTAGCAGAGTCAGATCGAATTGAAACAACAATAATACCATGTTTTTACCAATAGATTATGCCCACTCTAAAACATCAGACCGAGATTAATTTTTTTGTCATTTACAACATAAAATTACTAAACTTTATCAATTGAATATGAAACATACAGAAAACAAATAAAAATGTATAAATTCAATGTGAAACATACGGTATCTGTGATGAAGAACTACGTAAAATTTGCACACGAATTTATAGAAGAAGCTGAATCTGTCGGCTCTAGACCACACAAGTACAAAATTTCATCTGTAGACATACCAGAAACTTCAAGTATCAGCAAAATTTCTGGTATTCCGAAATTTTCAAATTTTTGGTATTTTTTTGATTACTGGAAACTTTGTAAATTTCTGGAATTTGTTATGGAATTTTTTTAAAGTCGCCCCGGAAATTTGAAATTTTTGGTAAATCACCCCGAAATTTTGAAATTTTTGGTTAATTGTAACTGAAAAACTTGAAAATACAAAAAAATTCTAGTAATCGGCCAATTTTGATACTTGGAATATCATTTCTCGCCATTTGACCAATAGTAAATAATTTTTGTCAAATGTATAAATTTTAGAGGTAAATAGTAACAGAGGCAATTTTGGAATTAAAAAAGTGGGGGGATATGGGTATAAATAGGGGGGAGGGGGAGGGTGTCAAGTTAAAACCTCCAATAGTAAGGATATACGTGAAGACTCTAACACCCACAATATCGGCTTAGAGGAAGAAGAGGTACAACACAATAACAAAATTGAAGAAATGAAGACTAAGCAGCAGCAAGACATTTCCAAAGAAGCAAAATGGACATGTGAAACAGAATACCTAAATGTAGAAGACAATAAATTTAGAGCGGTAGAGATGTGGGAAAATGCACAAGCGTTCAAAGAGAGAAGAAGTAGAAGTGAAATCATGAAGAAGAAGAAGAAATATTGGAGAAAAAGGAAAGAATCACCAAGTGTACTTGTAGCAAATGAAACCAGTCTCAAAGTCAGGTAAATAATGTCTCTGATTTAGTCTTACCATTCAATGACTTAGAAAAGAGTGGCTGGGTTTTTTTACATGGACATGCAAGAAAAATTGCAAAGGATGTGTGGAATTTGGGGAAAGAGTATGGAATAGGGAACAAGGGCGACGAGACAGAAATTGTACAAGAATTGATAGTAGGAATTGATATGAAAAAAGAAAATCAGAAAAGGGAAGTGGGGGCGATCGCTACTAAAAATAGGGATCATGAATTGGCACCCTAAAATTCATCATTATGAAGTTGATCAGTTATAATGTTAGGGGTTTAGGTGGTGTATTAAAAATGAAGGAAGTTAAAAACTTAATCTCTAGCCAGAAAACCGACATGATTTGTATTCAAGAGACTAAGATGGAATTTATGGATAGGAATCAATGCATAATGATGTGGGGTGGGTCAGACTGTGACTTTGCTTTCATAGAATTAGAAGGAAGGTCAGGATGAGTTCTGAAAATTTGGGATAGCAATGTGTTTTCACTCAAAATGAAATTTAATAGAGGTCACACTCTTATTGTGAAAGGGGAGAGGGGTGAATAAAAATATTAAGTCCTTATAATGAATGTACACGTACCTTGCGAGGCAAGTAGAAAACAAAGGTTCTGGGTGGATTTCCTATCATTAATTTCTGTAAAGAGGGACGCGAGATGGTGTTTAGTGGGAGATTTCAACTCTATACGTGTGGAAACAAAAAGGAAAGGTGTAATAGCAATGTTAGAAGGGAATAATTGGAAGATTTTAACGACTTCATAACAAAGGCAGAATTAATCGACCTATCTTTACATGGAATACGGTTTACATGGTCCAGGCTGAGTAGATCATCAATGAGCACAATTGATAGATTCCTTATTTTGGAAGTATGGTACGAGACGTGGCCAGATTGTAGTCAGTAGTGTCTTGATAAATGCTTATAGGATCATTGCTCGATTTTACTTTGTGAGAAAAAGTTAAATTGGGGGCCTAAACCATTCCAGATACTAAATTATTGGAAATAAACCAAGGGGTATCGAGAATTTTTTCAAAAAGAGTAGCGAGACTTAAAGGTGGATGGTTGGGGGATGTTCGTGCTCAAATAAAAATTAAAAAAGGTAAAAGGAAGGTTGAGAGAATGGCACAAAAATCACACTCAGAACCTAGAAGAAAAAATCAAAGATGAAAAAGAAGAAATTAACATAACTAAAGTAAAAGGTGAGGAGTCAGAGTTATCGGAATAGGAGATCGCCAAAAAGAGAGAGCTAATAACAAAAATGTTTAGTTTCTCAAGCCTAAACTGCAACATCCAATGGCAGAAGTCGATACGAATTCAAAATACTTTCATGTTTGTATTAACAAAAGAAGGCAGGGAAATGCTATCTTAAACCTAGAAGTGGAAGGTAGAAAGTTGACAGAAGTGGAAGAAATAAAAAATGCAATTGTCGAACATTTTCACTATCACTTTTCAAATAAGGGGCCATGACCGTTACCAGCCAATATGATGTTTAGAAGACTTAAGGACAGAGACAACGATGATCTCATATGTGAGTTTATAGAAGAAGAAATTAAGAGTTTAGTGTGGGAATTCAATAGCGATGAAAGTTCGAGACCATGTGGGGTAAATTTTGGGTTTGTAAAGGAATTTTAGAATAATATCAAAGCTGATTTCTTGCGAGTCATGGCATAATTTCATCGATATGGCAAGATAGTTAAAGGGGGAAATTGTTCTTTTATGGTGATGATCCCGAAGAAGCAAAAACCGATAAAAATATTTGAATTTAGACCTATTTCACTAATTAGATGCATTTACAAGGTTGTATCAAAGGTGTTGACTAACAGACTCAAAAAAGTGATCGAATCAGTGATGTCAGAAACACAATCTGTATTTGGGTCTGGAAGATAAATATTAGATGGTGTTCTCATAGCAAATGAGATTGTTGATGAAGCGAGGAGATTAAAGAAGGAGGTTGTAATGTTTAAAGTAGACTTTGAAAAGGCTTACGATTCGGTGGATTGGAGTTTCTTAATCTCTGTAATGGAAAAAATGGGGTTACATGAGAAATTGAGGAAATGGATATTAGAATTCCTAAAATCGTCATCAGTTTCGGTGTTGGCAAATGGAAGCCCTACTAAGGAGTTTAAGGTGGACCGAGGTCTAAGACAAGGCAGTCCAATATCACCTTTTCTCTTTCTCATGGTAGCCGAAGGTTTTAATGTGTTGATGGAAAAGGTGATGGACCGGGGTAGATTCTCCGGATTCACTTTTGATGGATGCTCAAAACAGTTTTCATACTTATAATATGCTAACGGCACCTTAGTTGCTGGCAGAAAAACTAGGTGAATATTAGTACTATCAAGTCCAATCTTATGCTATTTGAAATAATAATTGGTTTCAAGGTAAATTAGCACAAGAGTGTTTTGATTGGAATAAATATACCCCATCATTGGCTATAAGAAGCATCAAATATCCTAAATTGCAAATTAGAATCCCTAACATTTAAATTTCTAGGGGTGTCGATTGGTGCTAAATCAAGAATGAAGGCTATGTGGCAACCAATTATAGACATAGTGAAATCTAAATTGTCAAAATTGAAATATAAACAATTTTCGATTGGTGGTCGAGTTGTTGTTTTAAATCCAGTCTTGTCGGCTCTTTCGGTCTACTTCTTCTCTTTCTTCAAGGCTCCGTCAAGTATCATTTCTAAACTCGATTCTCTTTTTAAATAGTTTTTATAAGGGGCATGGAGGAGAGGAAAATAAATTGGGTTAAATGGGATAACGTTTGCAAACCACTTGAAGAGGGGGGGGGGGGGGGGGGTTAGACATAAAGAATTTGAGGGCTTTTAATATAGCTTTGTTAGGAAAATGGAAGTGGAAATTAAAAAATGAAAGGCAAGGCTTATGGTTTAAAGCACTGGTAAATAAATACTGAGAGAGAGATTGTCAAATTAGACAAAGTGGAAGTGGAGTGTCAGTTTGGCGGGTAATTTGACATCTAGATATTGGAAATGGTGAACATAATAATGAATGGATGTCATCTAGACTAAAAAAAGAGATAGGGGATGGGAATGACATAAGTTTTTGGTGTAATTGGTGGATTGGTCAAAGGAAACTAAAAGACAATTTTGGAAACCTATACAACATATCACTTGATAAATCAAAGAAAATAAGAGAGGTATTGATAAGATAAAATAGAGTGTGTAATTGGTCTTTGAAGTGGAGTAGATACTTGAGCAAGGAAGAAAGTCAATCCTTATAAGAAAATGTAGTCTTGAAAGATGGGGTGAAAGATAAGTTGGTGTGGTTGAAAGGGAAGTCGACCATGTACTCTGCTAAGGAACACTACTAAAAATATGACATTTGAGAAAAAGTTTTTACATCAGGTATAAAAATATATGATGTGAAAAATATTTATCAAAAGATTTTACATCAGACCTTTATTTCCAATGATATGAAAAATATTTGATTTAGGAAAAAATATAACACGGTGGTAGTTTGGTAAATAAAAAGATATTTTGTTATAAAGTATTTCACATCGGGCCTAGATTTCCCCCGATGTGAAAAGTCCAGTGAAAAATAAATAAAAACATGGTGGCAGTTTTGTAAATAAGATGAATTTTGTTATAAAAAGAAAAGTTGGATGTTACATCAGATTATAGGCCCAACCGATGTAACATATTGGCTGTTACATAGGCCCAATTGGCCAACCTATGCAAAAGGGTCTTATTATTTCACAAAACCCTAATATTCTGTACCAAACCCATTCATTTTCATTCAACTATTTCATTCAAATCTGCCTTTGTCGAACTAGCTCAATACGCTGTCGAACTCCCTCTGTCTGACCACCCCAACAGACGCACCCTCCATCGTCGTCTTCCTCCGTATTTTCAAATCCCTCCATCTAACACCACAATAGACGTGTCTCGATCGTTGTCTGTTCATCGTCCATTCAACTCCTTTTGTCTAACTCCCTCCATAGGTAACCAACTTTTTTATTTATTTTGATACAGATCTCATTGGCAATTAATAATCATTTGTCTAAGAGACAATATTGTGGTCGTTTTTTGTTTACTTCACCGGGAAATTGATCAAATCACGAACCAAATTATTACAAAGTAAGTTTGTCTTTTATGTGACTTTTGTTATAATATATTATATGTCCTATATACATAAATTGTTACAAAAGTAATTTCATATTTTATGTGGCTTTATATGAATTTTCTTTTTCTAAATTAGTGCTTTTGGGATTCATTAAATGGCAAATGATTTATTTTTTTTGATTTTGGTGTTGTTTGCTAATGTTAATTGGTGTTATTATTTATTGTCAACAGATGTGATTTTGGTGTTGTCTACTAAAGCTACAAATCATCTTTTTGTGGATTGCATGTTGGTATTTCAAGTGTGGGAAAAGACTTATAAATAGTTGGATATTTTTGTATAATTTCACTGGTTTTGTTGTTGTAGTAGTCCACAGTGTGTAAACTTCCTTATAATTTTGTACACTTGTGTGTATCCTAGATTAGTACTTTTATAAATCAATTTTTCATTTTGAAGAATCTATATGTTCATCCTAGCTATTTGGTGTAATGAAATTATCCTTCACTGGTTAGAAAAATATGAAAATAGCTACCTAAATGTGGTCTTGTGATGTTGGAAAAATATGAAAAAATTAAGGACCAAATTTTTTTTTACAAGGAATCCACCTCGATTCCGTTAAAAAAAAGCAAACATATTACATCGGGCCATTGAGGCAACCGATATTAAAACATATATATTACATCATGCCATTGAGACAACTGATGTTAAAAATCATATATTACATCGGACCAGATAGACAACCGATGTAATAGGTAAAATTTTCACATCAGACTGTTGCCCGATATAAAATGTCCTTGATTTACTATATCACTTGAATTTACATTGGACCCAGACCCAATATAAAATGTACTTTTTGCTTCAAAGCTTATAAAGTCTTAATATCCAAGTTCCCTATTGAAATTGCGCAAGAGTTTGGCATAAGTCAATCCATCAAACGTGTCGATGTTGACATGGAGAATTTTTCAAGATATAGTGGCTACCAAAACCAAGTTAGCTAGGAGAGGAGTGATTAGTCAAGAGAATACCCATTGAGTGGACGTGGAAAGGAAGCATCGAAGTCACATCTTTTTTTTGAATGTCCAATTTTTCAGGTATTTGGAGCAAAATTTGCAACTAGATCAGAGTGAAAACTGCTCTGCATAATGACAGCTTAGCGCATTTTGAGTAGTTCAGCGGAATAATTAGTAGCGGTATCACTTACTCTCGCCGCGTAGTTGTGGTTTGGTTTGCTTGTATTTGGAACATTTAGAAGTCAAGAAACATAAAATCGTTTCGTAATGGTTATGTTTACCTCGACAAAATATTTGAAGATGTAAAGTTATGGTCCTGGAAGTGGCTGAGATTCAAGAGTAACAACATGAACTATATTTTAACCC